TTCTGATTGGCTAAAAGTGCTGTCAATCTCGTTTTGGTGGCAATGGCTATCTTCTATTGGCTCTAACGATTCGAAGGAGGGTTCAATCACCGAAATCAGCCGATCCATCATTGGGCCGCGCGTCATCAAGGGATCTCCACAGCACGTCCAGTCGCCATTACGCACACGACGCATAACACAGACAGCGGTCTGGTAGGATTTAAAAAAAAAACTAAAACACTGCTGTATTTGGTTGTATTGAACGCCATTAGTGAAATACAAGTGAAATATCTAGTTTGTACATAAGAACAATCAGATGGTCACCAGTGTGCCAAAATGTGTCCAAGTGTCCAAAAATGTCACCTCGCCTGAACTGTCTGAATAAAAAACATAGTAATTTTGTTCTACTTCACTTTTTCAGAGTCAACCTTTGCAGGGAGAATGATCACATATTGTGATATGATTTTGGAGAGGTTTAGAGCTGCAGCTGGATCATTACAAAGAGATAATTATCCTGAAACTGCTTCTTTTTTTTTTAGGCGAACCTGACATTTTTAAAGTTGTGTGTGTGCCATCTACATTTACTTTTAACCAGCAACATATATACTGAAATTTACACATATGAACAAATCTTACAAGTGTTCCTTTTATTATGACACAAGAATTATTCAAATAGACCTTGTGGTTGCAGAGATAAACTGTTTTTATTATGGGTATGTAATTTTCGAGAAAAGGCCTGAAAAATAGCTCAGAGCTTAAAGGGTGAAAGTAAATTGTGTTGTTTCATAATTGTAAATGAATTGTAAAAGGTTGACATCCACTATTATTATTATAATAATTTCATCTCCTCTGCCTCATTCAGGTGTTGTATTCCCATACTCCCCCTTTGTGGGTCGCTACAACCTGAACTTCCAAGATGCTATGAAGGCCTGTGAGGACCAGGGTGCCGTGGGTGCCACCTTTGATCAGCTGTTTGAGGCCTGGAAGGGCGGTCTGGACTGGTGCAACGCTGGCTGGCTGAGCGATGGCACGGTGCAGTATCCCATCACCAAACCCAGAGCACCTTGTGGTGGAACCAACAGCGGGCCTGGTCTCAGAAGCTATGGACGCCAGAACAGGATGAGCCGCTACGATGTGTTCTGCTATGCTTCCGCCCTCAACGGTGAGTTTCTAAAAGACCTGTGTGTATCTTTTCTCAAGTTGTTACTTGACTTTCATTATTCTAGTGGTGGGATAACAGGGGGAAGCACAATGACCACACAGGCCGCCTTACAGCACCTTGAGTCCTTCTGGAAGGAAAACTTCTTCTTCTGACCAGCTCTTTTGCTTTGTCTCTGCCATCAGGACGTTTGTATTGGCTGGTCCAGCCTGACAGGCTGACCTTTGACGAGGCTGTGCAGGCATGCTTAGATGACGGTGCAGAGATCGCCAAGGTGGGCCACATGTACTCCGCCTGGAAGCTTGAGGGTTACGATCGCTGCGATGCCGGCTGGTTGGCTGACGGAAGCGTCCGCTACCCCATCTCCAGACCCCGCAAGAACTGCAGCCCCACAGAAGCTGCAGTGCGCTTTGTTGGATTCCCCGACAAGAGCCAGAAGTCTTATGGCGTCTACTGTTACAGGTCTTATTAGTGAGGGGAGGTAGAAAGGAGCAGGGAAGCCATAACCACCAAAGAGCAGCAACAACCACAACCAGTTAAATCAACAATGAAGCAGATAAGCTTTGGATCTTAACTAGCATGAACTCAATACCTTTCTGAAGCTGTGATAACCCTAAAACAAATACTGTACATCTTATGCCCATATGCAATGAATGGCAAAGTATTTTGTAGCCATTAATTTTTGTTTTTCTCTAGCTGTGCATTCATTGATTTTCCACAGGCTGTTGGGTAAAGGGGCAACAGTGTTAAAGTGACTGATGAGACAGAGACAAGAACTTAATGGTCAACATCATCTAAGTTTAGTTTGTCTTCCACAGAATGTAAAGATGTGTGAAGTTCAAGATTTGGGGCGATAATGCTCATGTGCAGATGATACGTGCTGCTTTAAAATTTCTATAGAAGAAAACAATGTGTTATTTTATTTTTTATCAGTTATCACATCCATAAAAAAAATTCAATTGATGACAAAAGCATGAACATAACTCAGCTACCGCTGTTGAGCTATGAATACGTACATGTTATACTGCAGTAAGTAATCGATTGGATCCACCTTCAAGCAGAGTTGAAGCTCTTTTTCTTTTTTTTTTTGACCGGAGGAGTTGTGATCAAATTAACTGCCAATAAAATGAATGTAAATGTTTCAGTCTGTGACCTTTTCTGCATCGAAAGCTCCTCTTAGATCAACTCCCAACTACAATCTGAAGTACGTTTTTACTGTTATAACCTTGAGCAGTGTGTTTGTTCTAACAAACTTTTTTAATGATCACATCCATGGTGTTTTTTTTAAAGCAAAAGAACAGATTTTGTCTAATACTTGCAGCTTTTTTGGTGAAATGTAGTTTTTAGACAACTTAAACCTGGCTCATACAAGCAGGATTTTGGCAAAATAGTGAATTCCTGAACTAAAAATATACCCCTGATTGTCTAACAATGATAGAGAAGAAATCTGACATTACAGCAGTGACAGTAAAGCTATCAAATATACGGCCGCAAATCCACTCTGACTGCTGACAGGTTCACATGTTTTTACTGTGGTTATGAGTTGTAAATTTCCACTGGCATTCTTTGAAAGGACTGATTAATATGATGATTACAATGATGATCACTTACACTCCTAAACAGATTCATTGATAGTCATGCTGTAGTGACTGCATCTCAATATGTGTCTCTAAATGTTTCCTGTGGACCACGGTGGCCATGTTTTTGACAATACAAAGCTGATTATTTTGAGGTGTGCCACAACCAGTAGATAGAACAATTAATAGGTATGAGTTACAAAAATAATTTCAAATTTTGTGGTTTTTTTTGCGATGTTGTTTCTTTTTTTTTTTTACTTTTTCTAACCCTGGGCACTGACACATGGTACTTACTGCAGATTACATGTGGTAATATGGCATTGTTTGTAAAAGCAAAACTTCTGTCAAACTCGTGTATTTGTTCACACTTGCGCATGAAAAAAAAAAACAAAAGATTAAGGTATTTTTGTATCTTATCGCCATGTACCTTTTTCAACAAAGCAGTTTGAAATAAAGAATATGACTTTCAAATGGAGTTTTCCCAAGTGTTCCTTTTTCACCAACATTTTTTATTTCCGCTGGAACAAAGTCAGCATGTTTTAGGAGGAGATGTGGAAGTTTAAGCAGAGATTTAAACAGTATTGTCTAAGCTGCCAAATCAGGGGCCATGTGTCTGGCGTAAACCCATGTCATTGAGAGGACTTAAGATTAGACTCTCCTCACATTTATTTATTCTTTGCCATTTTTTCTATTCAGTGCCAGCCTGCCAGCCCACCACTAAGTTAGACAAAGGGAACAGTATCACAGGCTTTAAGAGGCTTGTGGGAATCCATGGGAATGGGGTCAGATTTAGATGGATACAGCAGGGAAATGCCAGACAAATGTAAATGTGTGTGATGGTGAAAAGTCTACTGAAAGCAGCAGAATCTAAGTAGAGATTTTGAAGAGCATTATACACTTTTTCAGCACAGAGAATGTTAATAATTATGTTCATTATATTCTTAAAATCTGTGGCGTAAACTATACTATTACACACTTAAAGTAAAAGTACAAAGCGAGTCTTTCTTTGTCTCCGCTTCGTTTAGCCAGACAAACACTGTCTTATTGCTGCAAAGTCATTTAGACTATTTCATTTTGTTTGCTTCTGTGGTTTCCAGTCAAATGTTGCACAGACTTTCAGTGAGTCAGATGACACTACATCACACTGACACACTTGTCAGTCAGATATCTAGATTAAGTTATGCATGACGGGAGAATAGCGAGCTAATGAGCGAGTGAAAGACACTTTTACATCAGACTAGACAAAGTCAGAGGCGCCTGTCAAGCCCAACAAGTCAGGAAAAGCCGGGGTGCGTTTCCTTTCCAAAATAAACCTTGAAATCCTGTTAAATCCCAGCGAGACCTGGGCCGAGACGTCTTGGTTTTTCCAATGATCAGCCTTGAGACATCTGCATTTCATGAGGCAAGATTGCAGGTTTTACTCTCGCTGGGGCATCCAGGAGCGGCCTTTAATCACAAGTCAAGGCTGCTCTAATGACAGAGTGGGCATTCACAGTGAAAACCACAACAAGCTGAACTTACACAGATTACATCGACCAACTTGATGTTATTACCCAGGTAATGACGCCTTCTGCTGTTACGCAGTGTCGGTGTGAACTTCAAGTGACTGCTGCATAAGGAGGCGCACTGGGAATAGTGGTGAAGGGTAATGTACTCAAAAAGCTTCTGTTTTTACACCAAGGGAATTCATCTGCTTCTTTTATGCACCACTGTGTAGACTTAAGAAGTGTTTTGACATTCGAGAAGAGCACCTTCAGTCATGTTATTGGCTAAAAAAAAACACAACTGAAGTGTGGTATACTTATGCAGGTCCACAGTCCTGCAGCATCAGCCATTTTCAGAACTTCCCCACCCCTCTTCCCCTCATCCACTTCTTGCTCCATATGTTTGCCACAATTCACACTGCCACTTCCTATCTGCTCCCCCTGAAAATAGCGTCTGTCTAGCAGGAGGCTTGTGGAGCATGTCTGATAGGTTTTTCAGAAGAGACTGATGTATGTGCAAGACACAGTAATGCTTTGAAAATAGGCCAGTGGAATGACGTTCTGCAGAGTGCAATTCGTATGAAGCTTAAAGTCTTTACTGTATGTTCGGCTTCCGTGAACTGTGTGCTATATGGAGGGAAAAGACATAAATAAAATCAGGGTTTATGGTTTAGTCAGATAGCACTACCTGCTGGTGAAACAACCACACTACCTGCTAAAATTTACCTTCGTGCAAGAGGAGGCAACGTTTTGATTCATTCGACCTCTTTACCTGAATTTATGGACCCTTTTAGGGAACCTTTTCAAGGGTGTAATAAAGAATACCGTGAAAAGGTTGCAACCCCATCAAAGCACTCAAAGTGCCACAGAAAGAACAAGAGAAACTTCATTATAACTGCATGTGCGCAACATTTGGAGAACACCACATGAGTCCAAATGAAGTGTTTTAAGTATATAATAACCATATATTTATTTTTATTTCTTTGGTGATTTAAAACAGGAAAAAAAACAAAAAAAAAACAGTTTGATCTTTTTCAAAAATAATTCACAAACATCCCAGACATTCACATTGTAAAATTAAAAAAAAATAATAAAATAAAAGTTATAAATATAAAATGATATTATGTGCACATTAGGGCTAAAAAAACACACACACAGACATTCACAGGCACAACAAAATAACATTTCCCCATTTAAAAAATTAAAAAAAAAATGCTGGAGAAACGTGTTACCATCCACATGTACAAATGTTTTGTTAATGTTACAGAACAAAATTATTGCAGATTATTGCTGATGTGGTCCTCCGTGTTCTTTGGTCCACCGTCGGCATTAAAGATGTAAAAACATGTAAATCGACGTCTTGCATATCAGGTCATTTTTCATCCTTAATGCATCCCATTTAGACAGTCTGTGAGTGTGGCTGGTCTCCTGTTGAACATACGATAAAATATATATGAAGAGCACTGCTGGGCCAAGTGACAGCATCATATTTTACCTTTCAGTATGAAACAAGTAAGGAGATCAAGAGCAGCTTGAAAATAAATTATATGCATGTCTGCCTAAACAGCTGTTACGTTCAAGTCTTTTTTTTTTTTGAGTGTTTCACAAAATACATTCTCTCAATGTGTGATTTTAATTGACCACAATAACACAAAAGTTGAGTGAAGAAAAAGCGTTAGTTAGAAAACTATGATGAGCTACAGCACAACAGCAACGTATGAGAGCAAGATTCTTTGGTGTGAGATTATGAACAGCACTACAGTTATTGTAAACGTGCTGCAGCAACTAACTGTAAGTGATGCGCTGAACATACACGAGCAGAAAATACAGGCTACTGGAGCCACACTTCCCTTCTTTCATTTTAAAATAGTTCATGGATCAATTTCCATCTGTGGATAAAGGCTTTGTCGATAAGTACTTAGAGAGCAATCTTTCATATTAAATTGTACCATACAAAAGAAATAACATTTTAAAGATCCTCTCTTTAGAAATCTCTCTACAAACATTAAACTTGACATCGATTACATCCAATGAAGGCAGGAGCGATTGAAAGGTGGTCATTTTATATTTTGAAAGCTGCCACCACAAAGAAAAATCTCCAGCTGATAACTCAGCGATTTGCTGAAACTTCAGACTTTTGCGAATTATTCATCTGGAATCTGAAATACGATCACAAACAAAGCTTTGAAACCATGTTTCAGTATATGATGGGTGCCTCTGTTGATTAGGATTGAAGACCGGAGAAAGATTCAGTACAAAAGTTTATAGTTCTATGTATGTGATACAATATTTAAATAATGTAAACTAGAGTATGAGTCCTTTGCATAATCACCTCTGTTTGTGTTCTGAGAAGCCACATGTGGCTCTCTTGACATACATTAAACATAGTTAAAAGTCTGAGGACTTCATTATAAATGCATATGCATGCATGCTCATTAGAAGGAAGTCCAGCTTAAAACAGCACGACAACTTAATTGATTTTCTTTACATAACATAAGCGCTATAATTTCACAACAGATTTCTTTCTAGGAATAAGGAACACTCGCAGTGATTTTAAATAGCACAGCTGGTGTACAAAGGTATTAGAAAACAGTAACGAATGTATTATTTGATGAGCTCAGGACATAGAAAAAAAACAGTTTAAAAAAAGAATGATGACAGTATTTTTTTTTCTTTTCCAGTAGCCAGCTGAAAGGTTTCTGAATCCACATTGACACTGTTATAAAACAGTGCCCCTTGATAAGAAAAGTCAACGTCTATAAAAGGCACTTCATAAGATTCCATCGTTATCCAAAATGCAAGAAAACTGCAGGTTATCCTCTTGGTTTCTTTAATGAGTTTTCTCTTGTGCTTTATTTTCCTTTGCGTCTCTCCACACAAGCATCAGGCATGTGTTCTCGTCTTTGGGAAGCTGTGCCATGCTTTTTTGGCATTCACTGTCTCTTCCGCTTATTTTCAGTTCTGTCTCTCCTTCCCCGGTAGCGCTGGTGGTGAAAGCGGAAGGGCTCATCCTGCCATTTTTTGAAGTTGTTGATGCTGTAGAGACTATTGTGTTGATGTCTTCTGATAAAGGTCCTTTGGTAGCCCGATGCTGTCAGAGAGAAATCATAAATTAGCTTTTAAGCAATGATAGTGACTCAAAATGTTGTGCAGACATCTAGAGCAATATACAGTTCAAACCAGAAGTTTACATCCACTGTATAAAAAGACATATACTGTTTAGCTTTCTCACTGTCTGAAATTACATCAGACTGAACTTTTCCTGTTTTAGGTCAGTTAGGATTACCAAGATTATTTCTATTTGTTAAACGCCAGAATAATGACAGAGATAACTTTTTATTACTTTCTTCAAAATCAGAAATTTACATACACTAAGATGCCTTCAAACTATTTGGGAAAGCCCAGATGATGATGTCATGGCTTTGGAAGCTTTTGATAGGTCAACTGACAACATTTGAGTTAATTGGAGGCACACCTGTGGATGTATTTAAAGTCACACCTCAAACACACTGCTTCCTTTTTGTGACAACATGGGAAACTCTAAAGAAATCAGCCAAGATGTCAGGAAGAGAACTGTGGACCTCGTTCCTCGTTCTCAACCAATTATATGCAAGTGTATATACCATGGGAATGTCCAGCCATCATACCGCTCAAGAAGGAGACGGGTTCTGTGTTCCAGAGATGAAGTGTTTTGGTGAGAAATGTGCATATCAACCCCAGAACAAAAGCAAAAGACCTTGTGAAGATGCTATGAACTACAGGGGTGGCAGCATCATGCTTTGGGGGCGTGTTCCTGCAGGAGGGACTGATGCACTTCACCAAATAGATGGCATCATGAGGAAAGAACATTATGTGGAAATATTGAAGCAACATCTCAAGACATCAGCCAGGAAGTTAAAGCTTTGGTGCAAATAGGTCTTCCAAATGGACAATGACCCGAAGCATACCACCAAATTAATTACAATGAGGCTTCAGGACAACAAAGTCAATATTTTGGAGTGGCCATCACAAAGCCCTGATCTCAATCCTGTTGAAAATTTGTGGGCAGAGCTGAGAGGGTGTGCAAGCAAGTCGGCCAACAAACCTGACTCAGTTCCACCAGTTCTGTCAGGAGGAATGGGCCAGAATTCATCAAACAATGGGAAAAACCTGGGGAAAGAAAACCAAAAACGTTGAACCAAAGCAAAAACGTTAAAAGCAAAACCAACAAAGAACAAAGAAAAGGAAGGAAAACTCCGCCCTTAAAAAAAGAAAAAAAAAAATCCCCCGGGCAATAATCCGGCCGTTAACAAAAAAAAAAAAATTTGGGAAACCCAAACGAAAAAAAAAAAGAAAAAGTTAAGCAAAATTAAAAGCAAAAAAGGAAAAAAAAAAAGTTATGTGTCTTTTAATACAATGTACATAAATGCAGTGTAAACTTCTGACTTCAACTGTATATCCGTTGAGAGCAACACTCAATGGTACTTACGGTTCATGCAGGTGATTTTAGGGATATCCCATCGTCCATCCCCACGACAGCGGATTGTTGGGATGTGCCTCTGAATAAAGCCTTGCCGGCACTGGTACCTCACCAGCGAGTTAATCTCATACCTCTCACGCTTCTTACCAAAGGTACGGGCGTTCTCCACCAAAGGAGGCTGACTACAGGCCACTGAGAACCACAAGAGACACCAGCACTCAGATGAGCAATTTAAAGGAACAGAAGATTTGTATTTACACCTCAAAATAAAAATAAATCAATGAATTAGCATAAAACAAATATATCAGCAGGCCTTTTTACCTGTGCCCTTTTTGCAGGTGAAGGTGAGATGATAGTTGCAAGGAACATCGTTCCACTGGCCGTCCTCATGCCATATCATCACGACACAGTCCTCGCCAGAAGAGAAGAAACTGTCGGGCTGGTTGGGTCTCCAGTTTTCATATTGCTGAAAGAAGATCAGATAATCAAGAGTAAGTCACTATGGTTGTTTTCGGTGTTCTTTGGAGGCTTTAAAGGGAAAAAAAAAAAAAAAGGGAAATGTATGTTATTAAACCTGTTTCAAGGAGAGCAATAATCTATTATGTGTGTTTACATTGCATGTGCTTCTATTAGTTCAACCACATCTCCTTCCACAATAGTGATTCCAAGAACAGAGGTCATGGTGTTTGTGGCAGCATGTCCCCACCGCTGTGATTTTAAATTATCTCCACAAGAGGGAGTAACTACATCTTTCTAAAACCCAACTTTAATTCAGAAACTTTATTTCCCCATATCAAGTCTGATAGAGCCTTTCAGACACTGTAAATGTAACAAAAGGCAGAGAAAGCAACACATTTATAAAATGGGCTTCTACACTTCATTCATTACAGTGTTGCAAATCTAACAGTAACCCACAATATATATAAAAATAATAGTGGGTAAGCCTTTTAAAATATGTTTTAAAACCAGAACACGGCTCATGCTGTATATCAGTCACTGATGTGACCTTCTATACTTGGCATGATTGGTATCCATGTTAGTACTGTGTGTTTAGGGTTAAAGTACTTTGTGATAATGGACAGTTCTGGAAGTTTGTGGTGATATTTCATCACACAGTCTGCATGTCTAGAATTAGCAGGTACCATATTCTCCACACAGAGATGAACATTTACACATTTATACAGTATACACACAGCTGTAGTGCTGTGGGCCATTCAAGCTGGAATTGATGCTACCTGCAGTCTTTCAGCGCACTCTAGGTTCAAACAGCTTCTTCAAAGCTGTGACCCCCTACTCCTCCAATTAGGCCTGGAGGCTCTGCTACTCTGTCATTATGGATAACAAACATTCACTGACTTCCTGCTCTGCTCACTTCAGGTTAACAAATGGGTGACCCATCAGCTGCTTAGCAGGCCTGCATCCTCCTCAAAATAATCAAACAAACTTTGATCACCCACCTAAACACACATCCAAAGACATTTCAGCTTGTGTGTTTTAGTGTCCTACTTTAAATATTAATCAAATTTCTTCATTTTTTTCCAGTTGTGAATAGTTCACAGTTGTTTCAAAAACCTCCTATTTTTCTTGTATTTAAACCCACTGGAGGTGACCACCCACCCAGACACCCTGCTGTTTCTATTCCGTTTTTTTTCTCTGTCTGCAGCTGAGCACAGGTGCTGTCCATCTGTGTGTCTGCCTGCTTGGTGGCCCTTCCCCCGGGTGGCTGCCTGCTGGCTGGGCCCTCTCATGAGTGTGGGGGATAAAGGGGGATCATACCTGTCTACGCTTGCCAAACTCCCCTCTACACAGTGTCACTCACACCCTCATCACCCCTCAATCTCTCAGCTGAGCAATGGTCTCCACAGGAGGCCTGTGCTTATCTGTGAGCCCCCGGGCTGTCTTATGCTTCCTCCCTATCTCTGGTCCTGGAGGACCATCTTTGAAGTGAGGACATCAGTCCGTACAACACAGATGCACGTAGTAATTAGCTACTTTTCTGTCTTGCGAGGGGAATCTTCAGCAGCTACAAACACTACAGCAAACATGCATTTTTCTTCTGTTTTATGAACACATGCATGTATGAGCAGCATTTTCCTCCCTTGCCTACTCTTTTCCATCTTGCATTGTTGCAGCTATTGGTTTTCATACACTGGGCTCACACTAAGTGAAAGGATTAAGTGGTGCCTTACAACATGTTCTACATCAGATTTATTACCAGAGCAATCACCGGGGTGTAGTGATATGAGGCAGGGGAGAGTACGTCATGTGAAAGTCACCACAGCTCCCTGAGAAGAACGACTCTCCCTAGATGACTTTATCTGTCACCCTGATCACTTCCAAATATTTGTACTGTCTCTGTGCCATGTTTGTTGAGACGAAAATACATGTGAAAGCAACCTATCTTACCATAGGGCTGCCATCAGTCCAGCGGAAGTCACTGTCATACATCTTATCATTCAGGCCGATCCACTGGTAGTCCTGTCCAAGACCTGCCATGCAGGGTGGAGTGAAACACAGCAGATTGCATTACTGTTTTGCCTTATGTCCTTTTAAGGACTGTTCAGCTACAGGAAGCATAAGAGAAAGACAGATAGCGATAGTCTTTTTTAAAGACCTTAATTGTTTTCTTGTACAACTACATCTGTGTATTTCAAGTGACTTCATCTGAGAACTTGTCCTGTTTCAGCTTCATCATTTACAGTAGATCTCATTAAGTAAAATTTGAGCATATACCTGTACATATAGTTAATTATCAATAAGTGCATTATTTCACTTACGGTTGACAAACTGTTGCTCCTCATGGGACAAGATGCTGGAGAGATGAGCACCCTGCATGCGGCACTCTCTCTCCGCTGTGTCCCAGTTTCTCCTGTGGGGGAAGTACCGGTAGCAGTGCCCCTGAAATTTATGCCAGCCATAGTCACAGTCTTCTGTATCTGATGGAAGAAAGAGAGCGAGAGGGAATGAGCTATACAGGAAACAGACACAGATCAGTAAAAGATCAACAGACATGAAATGCATTAATATTTTCAAATACTGAATAAACTTTTAGTGATTGATTCTATTTGCAAATCTATCTACCTACCTCATTACCTTATCTACAGTACAGAATCATCAGTGTGGCTAAACCCTGAATATACCGACCCTTCAGACTGCTGTTATCTCTAAATAAGTTGAAAGAGTACAATGTGATGGATTAGCACTATACGGATATGAAGGCAAAACAAGAAAGAGCTCGATGTAGCGCCAGTTAGTATTTAAATGTGTGATCAACATGCTAAAGCAGGCGATTTTGCTCAAAGTACTTCACAAGTATTTATATGTACAAAAACAAATTGGAAAATTAAGATCACAAATTATAGTCAGTCAAACATAAAGTGATGTAGTTTGGGTCACATTTATGTCAAAAGCTGAAACTTGAGCAGCAAGGTTTTAAATGGCTTTCTGTATCAGAGAATTTTATGAGTCACTCTGATCTTCTTCCTACTGATGGTGAGTGTGTCCAACAGCACATACAGTATCTCAGTAAACTGTTTGTATGCCCGTCCTTCTCTCCTCAATTCAGCCACAGAAGACAGACAAAAATGGAGGTGAAATCCTTCTCTGGGTTGTTCTGCCTTGAGTTGCTTTTTTTCCCCCCTTTCTCTTGGCAAAAGTTGCTAAGACAACAGCTGTGTCTGAAAACACAGGCTGGGTGGGATTCACTGAAGAGTGATTCTGACAAAATTTAGGGTGTAGACGCTGGTCAAGAGAAATCCGCCAAGGCATATGATGCCCTGGGTTTAACGCACTTGTTTTGAAAGTAGGGTGCAACTGGGAACTTAATACTAGGAGACTAGAAACTTCTGAATAAATTCTTCCACTCTATTCCAGAGACGCTTTGTTTAAGATAAGCTTGGTTACCCATCAAGTGCTCAGGGACTTTAATATAATTTCTAGTCTAATTGTCTTGACCTAGACGTAAATAATAAGAGGTCACTTTAAGTCTAGCATACCTGCAGTAAGTCTGACTTGACAATGTGTCAGCTGTCTGTGTGTCTGGAACTTGTGGAAACAAAGCTCAAGGGAGCTAAAGTATCCCAAGTACTACCAGACATGACCTTCAGGCAACACTAAAAAGAGACTGTAAAAAGTGATTGTGGTGATGAGATAAAGATGGTGTTTATGACTCAGCCAATGCCTGGGAGAAACTTAAGACAATGCTCAGTGATATATAGATAGACTGATTATATTTCTGTAGTCTGTGCAGATTTTGAGTGACTCTTTTTTCTGGTCTATTACCAGGGACCAGTGGCAGCTGGTGACATTTTTTGGTGGAGGGACTCAGTCTGTAAATGATTTTTTTATTTAAAATCAGAAATTAGAATATGAGTAACATCAGGCACAACTATTTACAGGAATGCAAATTGTCTACCTTTGGAAGATATTCTAATCATAATCTAATTTAACATTATCAAGATTTACCAGAACTAAATTTCAAAACCATTCATGAAATTTTTATCAATATTTACAGAATCTGTACAAACTAAAAACACACAACATAGATAATGAAAAAAACACTATTCAGGGCTCCAGATGAACTTTTTCACTGATAGCACCATCACGACCCACTTTCTCATTTTGTTGCACCTCCCACCTGGTCAACAAAACGTATGACTTGCTGAACACTTTCTTATTGATAGACGCTACGATCTACTGATGCTCTCTGAACGCCCCACAAAGCAGGCTGCGGTAGATGCTGTTTAGTGGCTGTGTTGCTCTGACAAGTGTGGGACCAAAAATGACTTTTAAAATAATAAACTAGAGCGTTCTCATGTCGCATTTGTCCGAGGTTAAACCCAGGTACATGTATTCTACACGCGGTCTTCTCTACGAGCAGCCTTTTCTTCATTGGCAGCACGGCCAATGCATTTAGCCGTGACAACAGTAGCTGTGATCTAGTAGAAGAGGAGGGAAAGGCCTTGTGACGGTGTCAGAAAGCACAGTCGTAAGAACGTCGCAGGACAGTTTTGATATCCAACCACAGAAAACAAAAGCAAACAAAGACAAAATTAAGTGATCGCCTCCGGGACGCACTGAGCTGCGCCCCGTGAGAAACTCTGCAGCTGCCAATCAGAGCCCGGGCCGAGGTCACATGATTACGAAACGTTTTTTCCCCCAGCAACATCCACACTCATGTGGGCGGCGCCCCGCATCCAGGAAGTGCAGAATTAGTAAACATGCAGTGAAGACTAATATTAAATCTGTTAATAATACAAATATTGTTAATATAACAAAAGAATATGAACGTTATTATTAATTATTATTTTGTTATAACTAATTCAAATTTAATTTTACATTTGAGAACTACTTTTTATCTGGCCGTTCGTGTATTGACCACGCCGCCACTGCCAGGGACCCAGGTGAATGATTGCATTAGGTGCCGAAATGCAGTACAATATGAAATGAAGAACTCTTTAATGTTAAAACCATTTATAGTATCATATCATATGAATACAGGTAAGAACAATTTAGACACTGTAGATGTATGGTTGAACTACTTGCGACGTTAACACATGAAAGCTTTTATTAATCCGTAACAGAACACTCACAAAGAAGTTAGGGAGAGAATGAAATGAATGAACTATTAACTTACCCTCCTCACAATACAGCCCAGAGTAGCTTGGAAGGCACACACATGTGAAGCAAGCCACCCCATCAACACATGTTCCTCCATTGCGGCAGGGGTTTGACTGACACTCGTCAACATCTTTACAGGACACAGACAGAATCCATAAAAAGGACATGGAATTACAATTATAGAATTTCAGTATTAACTTAGACCTTTTTGGGTGGAAGTTATTTCAGTGAAATATGAGAGGAATATCCTACCTGTTTCACATCTATCACCAGTGTAACCAGGAGCACAGCTGCATGCTTGGACGCTGCCAGTCTTGAAGCAAGATCCGCCGTTCAAACAAATGTTCTCGGTACATGAGTGAATTCCTGTTGAGAAAACATTTTTAAAAAAAGCCGAATTAAAAAATAAGTTATAAGTTTAAAGGTTTTGCTGTATTCCTATGTGAAGAAACGTACCGGGAATTTCAACAGTCTCGCCGACAACTGTGTGCCCCAAATCAAGTCCTGTATCAGGAGGGACAGTTGTTGTGCCCTCGTTCATTGGTGGTTGTTCTTCAACAAGTGATGGAGGTGCAGTTGAGTCACTGTCAAGTTCATCATTTTTTTCAGAAAAAGATGATGGTGTGGTGGTTTTGGGTGTAACCAACCCCAGCTGGCTTTGTGCTTGAACTGGTGACATTGTCGTGAACTCTGTGTGTGCATTCCTTGTTGGTATTTCAGTGTGAAGAGAGACATCTGTGTTAATTTTGCTCACAACTTCCTCTTCCTCAGTACTGCTATCAGCACTAACAGGCTCCATCTTTGAAGATGTCGTAGCATCTACCTTGAATACAGTCTGAATTTCATCTGGGGATAGAGGCTGTTGTTCCACACTGTTGACCTTTGGTATCTTTGTAGTCACAAACTCTTCAGATACACCATCAGAGCTGACAGATACAGTCTCAGAGTTGACAGATCCACTTTCAGTCCCAGTGTCAGGGATGGAAGGTGACTTTGTAGTGACAGACTGAGGCTTGGAGCTGTGGTTCTCAACCTCACCATCATCCAGCTTAACAATGCTTGCTGTAGTCACGCTTTCCTCTGAGCTGCTGTTGCTTTCTGAACCACTCTCAGAGCTAGAGACTGACGCTGTACTGATGGGAGTTAATGCCATGACAGTGATAGCTTCTGCTACTACAGGTGGTTTGGTTGGATTTTCTTCTGAGGTACTTTCAGAACTGTTCACAGAATTAAAAGGTGGATTCTCAGGTGTTTCAGAAACATCAGGTAGTGTAGTAATGACCACTGTTTCTCTGCCTGGCATTTCATCGGGGTTAGGTTGTGATTGAAGTCCATGGTTGTCTGGTGACTCATAATCTGGGGATGGATAATCTGTGAACTCATAATTGTTGAGTGGTATTTGGAAATTTGTATCTGGAAATGGGTCAGGGACCTCACCACTTGCGGTCTCTATCTCTGTCTCTTGGCTTGCTTCGTGACTTGGAAGCATAGGGTGAGTTGTGATCAGCGATACATCCAGAGAAGAAAGATCCGTGTGAGGGCGGTGTGTTAGTGTGATCTCCGACTTGACTTGTTCAGATGACTTCTGGGGAGTTGTTAGGGGTTGTACAGGAGACACAGTTGTGTCAAATTGGACCATAACATCAGGCTGTGATGATGCTGTTGCTGAGAGCACATTTGAAGTGGGCTCAGAGGAAATGTATTCAGCAGGTACTGTGGTGGCCAATATTTTTGTCTCTGAGTTTGTAGAGATTTCTGCAGTCTGGGTAATGTCAGTGGGTTGATGGGTGCTTGTTAGGTCTGCATCTTGTGCCTCCTCATTTTTAGAATCTGTTGGTCCTGACTCAAAAGAAGTTGATGTCTTTGGAGATGGAGCATTTTTTCCTTGTACTGAAGGTGAAAAAGTTGTTTCCTCTGTAGTTTGTTCACTTGAACTCTGTGACACTCTAGAAGATGTTGTCTGAACAATTACAGTTTCTTCATCGGGTTTTTTGTCAGTAGCAAGTTGTGGAGTTGTCAACTCAACCTCAGAAGGCTGTGTGTCTTTTTCCATAGGAGGGGAAGTTATTCCAGAATAAGTATATGTTTCCTGAAGTTCTCCATCTTTGTCCAAGCCACCTTCAGCATCAGTTGAAACTCCTTTGGTTACAGATGCTCGACTTGATGCTTCAGCTGTTCTAACTTCAGCCTGGGGAGTCGCATCACTAGGGTTTAAGTCCTGGCTTGACTCCTGACTAGATGACATTGGGCTGGTTGTGGCCAACACTGTTTTCTCAGAGATGTCAATGTGGGGATGATGAGTGAACGTAATCTCAGACCTGGCTTGCTGGAAGGTCCCGTCAGGTTGTTTTGTAAATGGTTCGGAGGCAAAAGTGGTGACAAACTGAACCATGACATTGGGCTTTGAAGTGCTTTGCAGATCAGGAACTGTGGACATATTGAGGGATTCTTCATGTACTGTTGTTGGCATTACTCCAGTGGTAGAGAATGAAACTGATTCTGACAATGACAGTTTCTCTGTCTCTATGGTTTGATTGTCATCCTTTTGTGTGATTGTGCTGGGCTTTTGTGTGCTTAACAAAAGGGATACTGGAGTTTGTACAGTTTCAGATGTCACTGAGTCAGATGGTGCAGATGTGGTATCTGAGGCTCCAGAGGCTCCCACACCTGCAACATCTGTGATGCTTGCCATTGAAAATTCATCAGGATGGTAGGAAGGAGATACTGTTGCTGTGGATGACATTTGGTCCACTTTCATTGTACTGTGCAGAGGAGCCTTTTCTTGTGTCACAGGCTCTGTTACTGTACTAAACACTGAAGAGACTGTAGAGGTTACTGGGATTTCAGGTGCTGTTGATCCATCCATAGAGGACGCTGAAATTGTCTCCAAGGTTTCCACTGAAAAGTCATCATCAGCAGCAGCTTCACTAGTTGCGTTCACTGTACCAGGTTCAGTGGATACTGGTGTGTATGGCGTGACAGTAACTGAAGGTACTGTGGTTTGTGTCAAAATGGATGAGTCTGAAGTTTCATCATTTATGATGTGAGCTGTGGATGTTATGGCGGTGGGTGAGGAGGTCATGGATTTATCTTTTTCAGCAGTGCTGGACATATATTCCTCACTGGACACTGGAGTGACAATACTTGTGTCAGCTGTTAATGTTTGTGAAGGCAAAGAGGTGGAAATCTCGGTGGCATTATCAGTAGTGTCCTCTCTTGATAAATCATCATGAGGTAGCTCTGGATCTGGTTTGGTATGAGTCTCAGTAGAAACAATTGTATGTGGCGTTGTTAAATCATAGCTCTCTTCAGAGCTTGACTTTGTGGATACAGCAGTACCTAGAGTGGCCTGTGGTGACAGTGTGACTTTCTCTTCACTGGATGTCTCGACTGTAGAAACCCCTTCTACAGGTGATGATACTGAAGGGGACAGTAGATATTCAGAAGATGTTGAGGCTAGAGATGAGTCAGTTGCTGAAGTTGCATGTATAGTTATTGGTGTAGGGGTGAAGAAGGTGGTACTAAAACTCCCTGAACCCTCTGGTTCTTCTGTTGCCTCCAACCTCTGTGTCATTGTAATTGCTGTCACACCTCCGGCTTCTTCTGTCTGTATGGTTGGGTAAAATGAAGACGAAGGAACTATTGAGATATGATCTGCATCAATGATTATATCATCTTTGGTAATAAGCTCAGGAGTGGAGTTGTCTTCCTTCATACTGTCTGTAACTGCAGAAAACAGTTCATCTTCATCTTTTGCCTCCTCTGTGAATATGATGGATGTGCTGGTTGAAGGATTAGACACATGCAGGACCATGGTAGGTGTTTGTTCAGTTTGGTCGGTGTTGGCTTGGCTGCTGCTAGGAGTAATGATCACAACCTGTTGATCCGTAACACTGTGGTATACAATTGTTGGAATTGGGGTGGACATCGATGTGATTTCATCTTGCTTATGTTCACTACTGGAGCTTACTGAGGTAAAGTCAACAATAGTGTGATCACTAACTGAAGCTTCAACTGCAGGGGAGGACATAGTTGTATAGGAAGACTGTGTTGTGTGCTCAGCCACAGCAACTTCATCTTTTCCAGAGCCTGAAACAGGATGCTCTGTTGCTTCAGAAGTAATGGGGCTTTCCGTATCTGTAGTAATTTCACTCTCTTGTGAAGAAGTCTGCTCATCAGAGGTTGGTGTGACTGACACAAAGGTTTCAGTTTCACCTGTTGCTTCTCCAAATGTGACACTTGGCATCACTGGTGGCTCTGAGGTGAACAACTCACTGGTTTGGTTCCCAGGACTTTCTCCCTCCGTCAAAGTAAAACCTGTACTTAATGTTGGTCCATCAGTAGGTGACAAATGTGTGCTGGCAGTAGCATATTCTGTTGTAATGGATGCCATCTCAGTGCTGTCCAGAGAAGAAGCAGCATTTACAGTAGATTTTGACGTATTAGTTGTTGCACTTTCATATAATGCTGTTGTTGTTTTAGGTTTCTCTGTGCTAAAGAGAGAAGAGGCTGTACTCCTTCTGTTTTCAGTAGATGCACTTTCACGAGTTGGTGCTGTTATTGGTTTATTTGTGCTGAACACAGGGAAATTTATACTATCCCCTTTAGTATATATATCAGTGATACGGTCATCTGAAACACCTTCTTCGGAATATACTGAACTTGTATCCGTTGACGGAGGAGAACTACTCAAAGCTGGCACTACAGAAAAAAGTGTTTCAGGAGATTCTGCTGTTGGTTTCTCAGTACTGTAAATAGAAGAAGCTGTAGAGCTAGCAGACTTTTGTGTAATAAACTTATGGGTTGACTCAGTTCGTTCCGTAGCTGCCAGAGTAGTAGAAGTCACAGGTAAACTTGTGACTGGTACAAATGTGGATGACAGAATGAAGTCAGTACCTGAACCCTCATCCTCAAGTGCAGAATCATCTGTGAGGACTCCACTGCCCTGCTCAGTAATGTCAGGCTCAGTGCTGGTCATGTGTGGAGATTGGGTTGATGACATTATTTCTTCAGTAAGCTGTGGAGAAGTACTCTGAGCCTCATCTATTTCAGCCTCTTCTGTTGTAACAATAAAATCATCCTGGGGATTTTTGGTAGTCTCAATAGATACCTCCTCACCAGATCCATCTGGACTTGTCTCCAAATCATCTTCTTCAGGTGAGCTACCAGAGATCTCCATGTCAGGGTAAGGAAAGGGTTCTTTGGAGGTTATTGCAGTGACACTGGGGATCGCTATGGGTTGAGAGGTTTCAAGTGTATACGGACTTGTTGTGAAAGTTGTAAATTCTCTACTGCTTGAACTTTCAGAGCTTTCCTC